CTAAAAAATGGTAAACGTACCTTTTTTATATACTAAAGTGCTACAGACTGTGTGTGTGTGTGTGTGTGTGTGTGCGCGCGTGTAAGCATGCATTCATTAGGGAGAGAAACAGAGAGGAAGCACCCCAATGAGGCATGGCCATGACACAATCTCTTTTCCTCGCTTTTCCATCCCATCAGGATTTGGGGCATGCATGCACAAGCACCCTGCCTGTTTGCCAAGCTGCTAGGACTGAGATTTGAACCATGGTTGGCCACGTGGATTCTGACTCCCTGAACAATTAAGCCAGAGGGATGAGTCTTGTGTAAATATCCTAATATTGTAACATAAACAGGACATACTATTAATACTATTTAATACGTTTGAAAGCTACATTACATCCTTCCCATCACAAATAAAAAAATCTTAATGGTAAGAAATCACTTAGTATGGCTATTTCATTCTAATATTCTAAACTATGAGCAGAGTAATGCATGTTCAATTTTTCTAAGGTATAATTTTTTTAAGACATATTTTTGCTATAGGGCACGTACGCTCACCAGAGAGAGAGAGAGAGAGAGAGAGAAACAGAGACATGGAAAGCAAGAAATCACCCCTTCAGCGGGGTTGGCCACACTGCAATCCCTTCTCTATTCTCCTCTCAGGATCTTGGACACATACCCTTCATGAGTTTTAAGCCTCCAGGTGTGGGATTCAAACTGAGGTCAACCATGTGGGAAGCCAGTGACATCACCATTGCACCACCTACTGGACAGCTCCTCCACTTCAGTTGTAAGCCGCAGGGTGGGGGACTCTAATGTGGTCAACTACATGGAAGCCCAGCAATACAACCATTCCGCCATCTGCTGGTCCCAATTCTTTATAGCTATATAATCGTAACATCAATAACAAGAGAGATCCTTCCAATTTGATCACAGTGACTAAACTGAATCACATTTGCTTTTTCTAATCACTCCTTTAAAATAGTTTTAAAATCAGCAAACCATGGGCAAGTTTACCTCATGGGTTCATTTCCCGGCTCACTAAGTAAGGTCAAGAGCTCTGCAAAAAGTAACTGTAACCTCCACTCAGGCAGCTGTCAAGACCTCCCTTGGACTTTCCTCTTATCAGGATTTCTGAATCATGGAAGAAACAAACTTGCAGTATCAATCATTACCATGGGGTGGTATTGTCTTTAAGAAGCAAACAACTGTTGCAAAGCAAAAATGTATGTAATGAGAGAAAAGTGCAAAGGGTGGAAGTGTCCCTCTAGTACCTTCTCTAACATAACTGTCATTTCTTTCAAGAGCCATCCCTAGCTATTCAGAGTAAATATGTTTCTTTCTTATCTGCAGGTGAATACTTTGTAGCACAACTGCAACAAAAGGACCCTCATTTATGAAGTAAGGCTGCCTGGAAATGCTGGGTAAAAAACATAAATAGCTACTTATTTCTTACATGTTTCTTGCACCAACAACACAGGGTATCTATTCTGATCAAGTGCATTAGTGCATTGGTAACAATCCTGATAGCAGCAATAATACCTGGTCCCTACTATTCCATAATCACTAGTGGGGTTCTCTCTTTTATTTATTTCTTCCTTCCTTCCATGGGCTAGAAAAACAGTGGGACCTACAGATGGTGTAATGGTTACATCAATGGACTCCCATGTAGTGGACCGCAGTTCAAGTCCTGGATCCAGCAGCTTAAAACTCACTCTGGGTGCACATGTGTGTGCATACTCAAAATCCTGAGAGAAGAGTGGAGGAGGGATTGAGATGGGGCCATGCTCCCTGGGGGACATCTATCCCTAGCTTCAGCCAGCCTCAGATCATGGAATATATATGGTCCCACATGCTCACAGAGGTCTTGGGACATGGACCAGGAACTTGCCCATGTGGGTAGGAAGACTGCAGTGCTGCTTTCCCTCTGCACCACTGTCTAACTTCACAGTCTCTCACGTCTTTGAGGTACCACTGCATCCACTTGTCTGGGCTGGGCCTACTTCTTTGCCCTAAAGTGAAAAGTTCCCCAGGGAAACCCACTGTGGACTAGTTAAGGGAGCTGCATCCCACAGGGCCAACTGCAGTTCAGTTCTGACATTGGCAGCTTGAAAACCTGCTAGGCTCATGGGTGCGTGTGCACAGGTCCCAAATCCCAGCAAGATGAAAAAATGGAAGAGAAGGGATTGCAGCGTTGACTTATTGTGGCGGGTGCTTTTACCCTCTCCTCTCCGGCGCGTGCACACACCCTCTGGCAAATTAAAATAAAAAACATCCAATGCATTACAATTCGTTGCTGGAAATCATCAAATATATCGTTTACAAAAGGATTTTTTAAAAACAGTGCTCAAGCGAACCAGCAGTTAGCGTGATGGCTATGTCGCTGGACTCCCACGTAGTCAACCACGGTTCGCGTCCCGGACCCGGTGGCTTAAAACTCACGCCGGGCGCGTGTGCGTGCGTGCCCAAGATCCCAAGAGGAGAATGGAGGAGAAGGGATTGCGGCATGGCCATCCCCCCTGGGGGGTGATTTCTCGCTTTCTGTCTCTTTTTTTTTGGTGGGGGGGATGGGGGGGTGGGGTGGTGGCTTGAGCAGTTCCTCAACTGGCAATAATTGGGAATTAAAAAATACTAAATCTAAACGCTCAGACAGAAGTAAAATAATCTGCTCCAGAAAACTAGCAGACAACTTTAAATAAGCTTTAGGGGTGTCAAGACTACTGATGCCAAAGGTCCGTGTGAAATGTTGAGTGTTTTCCTAACATACAAATAAGCAAAAAAAAAAAAAATTCTAAGTGAATATGAGGCTATAAATATTGTCCAACTACAGGTTGAAATGTCTGAAATCCAAAATGCTCCCAAATCTGAAAACGTGAGTTCTGACATGATGCTACACGTGGAAAATTCCACACCTGATCTTACGTGATGGGCTGCAGTCAAACCAGTGCAATCTGCAATACTGCGTAAAATTACACTCAGGCTATGTATGTAAGGTGTATATGGAATGTAAATGGAGCCCTATAGCCTAGTGGTTAAAGGAACCAGCTCCCACATGGTCAACTGCAGTTTGAATCCTGGCCCCAGTAGCTTAAAAAAAAATAAAAATAAAAACATGCAAGGCACATGTATATGCATCCCCAAATACTGGAGGAAAACGGGTTGCAGCCATGCCCTGCTGGGGGGAGGGGTTACTGTCCCTCGCTCGCTCTCTCTAGTGAACACATGCATCCTAGAGCAATTTAAAAAAAAGAAAAAGAAATATAACAAATTTCATGCTTAGACTTGAGTTCTAGCCCCAAGATATCTCATTATGTATATGGCAAATATTCCAAAGAACAAATAATAATCTGAAAACACTTATCCCAAAGCATTTAAGATAAGGGATCCTCAATCCATATGTAAATCAATACTAGAAACAATCATGTCAGTATTTCATCTATCCTCAAATTTGGTATCTTCCAATTAGCCAAAAAAAAAAATTTTTTTTTTTTTTGGCTCTCACTCGGCCTTTCCTCAGGGTCAGGACCACCCTATACTGGGAATTTATAATCATTTCTATTGATTCATTTTTGAGGCATGCTGGCAAGAACTCTTTTTTTTAAAAAAACTAAGTTTTTATATTGCATAGTTGGAATAATATAACCTGCTTAAAATGAAAATTCTCCTTTCTAAGGTTTGAGCTTCCTCAAACTTAGTCTCAGTAGCTTAGAGGCTATCCAAAAATAGCAAAATTGTTTCTATACACAGAAGGAAAAAAAAAAAAAAGAATACATTCTAAACATAAGAGACTAAAAACAGAGTTGTAATACTGTATCAAAACACAGAAAGAGAGTATATAATGCTTTTTGTGTTCATCAATTTACTAAGTAACTAATGTCTGTCATGCAGGCATTGAAATTGTCAACAAGAGAGTAATTTGGCAGAGAATACAGAGTTACTGATCAGACTTTGGAATGTCTGGATTACTCTCCATGTGGTGTCATTCCCCACCAAGTATGTCTGCTCTGCCTCTGTCTAAAAAGAAAATCAAGTGAGTGAAGCACCAAGAAAACTTCTTAAAAGACAGTGATAATGGCAAAGTGGTGCCAGCATCTGATCTCTGGTAAGACAGATTATGGCAAAGTGGTGCCAGCATCTGATCTCTGGTCACCATCACGCTGAGCTGCCAGCCAGAACTGCTCTGTGCTCAGACTAACGATTCTCAGGTTCTCTAAGGTCACACCCAGCAAGGTCAGCAGGTGGTGTGGTGGCTGGGGTGCTGGATTCCCACACAGTCGGCAGTGGTTTGAGTCCTGGTCCCAGAGGCTTGAAAACCACAACAGATAGATAGATGAATAGATGAATGGATAGATGGATAGATAGATGGATAGATGGATAGATGTTTTTAAAAATACATTCAGCACAGAGAGAGCTGCAGAAAAGACGAGACAAGAAGTCAAACAACTGTCATCTGAGGTACTATGGAGAAAAGCCTGTCCAAAAATCGAATTTAACAAATAAAGAAGTCATGCCACTACTCAACCCCAAATATTAGGTTGTTGGGAAAATCATGACATAGTTTTCTACAAAAAAATGTCATGACTTTCCTGATGACCCAGTATCTTTGAAATTCAAATGGACCAATATAGATTAGAAGCAGAGTAAAATTATTTTTAAAAATAATAACTTTCTAGGGGCTGGCAGGTGGTGTGGTGGTGTGCTGGGAACACACGTGGCCGACTGCAGTTTAAGTCCCGGACCTGGGGGCTTGCTTTCTCCCTTTCTCTCTCTCTCACTCTGTCTCTCTCTGGTCAAATTAAAATTAATTAATTTAATTAATTCTTAATAGTAATCATTTTTGGCAAAATGTGTATCACATACAAAAAATTGCCTACGTGTGCTTTTTTTTTTTTTGCTATGACTATTTGAAGGCGCACAATTGCTGTCTACTTATTTCTATTAGTTAAACACTTTGCTTTGTGAAAAATCACTTCAAAGTAAAAACACATAAAAAAATTTAGAACTGAAAAGGTTCTCTACCTGAGAAATCCGCTGCTAAGAGATCCACCGCCTTCAACACCTTCACTTGTAAAATGCCAACGTCCTTCACATCCTTCAGGGAGTTCTGTAAGCACTGGGGTTGAAAAGGAGATGACAGATGAAAAGCTTTGTAATATACCATTTAATGCCATCAAGTCTTACAGGAAATATGTTCTAGATGTATCCTCTCCACGCTCATGAAATTCTTAGAAAAGTTCCAAAAATGCACTATGCCATAACCAGATAGGCATTGATAGCTGCCAGATTTAAAGAAAAGTAACTGAGACTTCATTAACTACAGCTTGAAAATAAATGATGAGCCCAGCAGGTAGAGTAGTGGCTACAGCACTGGACTCCCACAAGGCTGACTGTTCAAGTCCTGGACCTGGTGGTTTGAAGGTCACATCGGCTGCATGTGTGTTCATGCCTAAAATCTCAGGAGGAGAATGGAGAAGGGACTGCAGGATGGCCACTCCCTCGGGGGATGATTTTGTCCTCTCTAACCGTCTTCTCTCTCTGGCAAGCACATGCACTCTCAGGCAAAAATTCTTGTTATTCAGGCATTTCAGGGTAGAACAAGAAAAGCTTAAGAGTGGTTTAAAATAAAAGCTTAATAAACATGAGTTTGCCTAATCTGAGCCATTTCTAAAAACTTTTGAAAGCTGTTTTATCTATTTTTTTCCCTTGACCAAAATGTGCATTTGCTTGCTGAGAGAGACAGAGACAGAGGGAGGCAGAGAAGGCACCACCCAGAAGGGCACCATCACACTGCAATTCCTTTTCCTCCATCTTTCCATCCTGTCAGGTTTTCGACCATACACACACACACACACACACACACACAAACACACATCCCCAAAGTCTTTTTTTTTTTTCTTTTTCCAAGCTGCCAGGGATGAGATTCGAACTACAGGATCGGCCCCATAGGACCCACCTCCTTAACCACTAAACCACAGGACTAGTCCATCCTCTGTATTTTCAAACTAACCAAACAAACAAAATGAAGAGTTTTTCCACCAAGATAAATACAACTGAAATGAAATATTTTCACAATTTAGAGGCAGAAATACCTTTGGAGATGATCTATTCTTACCATGTAAAAAAAAAATAAATAAATAAGGCAGGTTTTTGTTTTTGCTCCTCTTTCTTGGGAGAAAGAGACTTTTGCTATAGGGCACATGTGTGCGCCAGAAAGACAGAGAGAAAAAAATGAGAAATTACCCACTAGGGGGATGGCCATGCCACAATCGCTTCTCCATTCTCCAGGGATTCTGGGCACACATGTACACCTGCCTGGCATGAGTTTCAAGCTGCTGGGTCCAGGATTCAAACCAAGGTTGGCTATGTGGGAGACCAATGCCTTAGCTGCTATGCCACCTGCTGGCCCCAAGGCAGGGGTCTTTAAACACAGCATTCTCTCTACTGGCCTGCTGGCCAGCTTGCTTGCCAAAGAGACATTCGATATTTCTATTTTGACTGTAACTTCTTCAAACCTCATTTCAATTCCTACTCTTCAAACCCAGAGAGATTATTCACAGTCATTTGGATGCCATCTAATGTTACTTTATAAATACAAAACACTCCTCATGACTTAGGTAAATTTTCCAATTTATCCACAGAAAAGCCTGAGGAAAACTTGCATTCGCTATTTTGGTTTAACTGATGTCATCGGAGAGAATAACAACGGTGAACTGTGTCAAACTGGGATTTCTCCGCCTGGCATGCAGCGTCTACACTGACAGTGAGAGATGTGGTTGGTTTTGCAATCCCGAAGATAAAGAATTGTTCGATTAATCAATACACCTGTGCGATCCAGGGTTCCGGAGGCACTGAAGTTTACGCTAAGAATGACACTGCCATCAAATAGGGATTCATCTTTGCTTCGTGTTCATGCCACTTTCCGAAAACATGTCTCCCAGTGTGCATCAAGAAAGTAAACCTATTGATTTACAAAGAGGGTGGGATAAACACGAAATGCAAATAAAGGCCTCTAAAAAGCCAGAGTACAAAAAATAACGGAAGTCAGCACAGCCCTTCTAGTTGAAAGTGCTGAGTGGGCTGTAAAGCACTTTGCAAGGACTTAGGGGAAATAGCACGCACTGCTATCACGTCCCAGGTAGGCCAGAGCGGCCAGGGTTCCTGCTTACTTTACAAGGCTCCACCCGAAGCTTGCTGCATCCTGAAATGTTCCGCAAAGGTATAGCCACAACACTGCAAGCACCAATGGTCGGTAAACGAAATAAAAAGTTCCTTTCGTGAGCTCATATCCCAGTTCCGATTTATACATGAAGACAGGCTACGCAAGTCTGCTTCCCTAAGGGCTGCAAGATTCTCCAAAGACTTCTTAAAAACTAAAAATTCAGAAGACTTTCTGAGCTTTTATAATGGCAAGGCGAGGGCCAGCAGAAGGCCTAGCAGTTACGTTGCTGGGCTCCCACATGGCCGTCTATAGTTTGAGTCCTGGATCTGACCTGGTGGCTTGAAAATCATGCCGGGAATGTGTGCATGCGTGCCCAAGGTCCCAGCAGGAGAAAGGATTGCGGCATGGCCATCTCCCTGGGGAGTGATTTCTCACTTTCCCTCTGTTAGTCTGCCTCTCACTCTGTCTGTCTGTCTCTCTTTCTGGTGAGCTCATGTGCCCTAAGGCGAAAACCCCTTTAAAAAAAAAAAAAAGAGGGAACAGCGGACCAGCAGGTGGCATAGAGATTAAAGCGCTGAACTCCCACATGGCTGACTATGGTTCAAGTCCTGGACCTGGAGGTTTGAAACTCATGCTGGTGCATGTGTCCAAAATTCCAAAAAGAGAATGGGAAGAAATGTGCTGAGATCATACACCATAGAGAGTGATTTCTCACTTTCTATCTCTGTCTCTCTCTCTAGTGAGAGCAGGTACCCAATAGCAAGTATCTCTCCCCTCCCCCCCCAAAAAAAATTTTGAAAACAAGGCAAACTCTTAAGTCTACTTTTGCCTTGTCACTAGTTAACACCTTGGTCTGATGAGATGTACAATTAAACTTGGGAAGAAGATCTCTCTTCGGATACAACTTTTCAGTTCATAGAATTAACTTCAACTTAAAAGGGGATGGTGGTGGTGGCGGGAGGAGACACAATAAAGAACTCACATATCGCTGAGTAATCTGCTTTCTTTCGCTGGGGTCTGCTAAGGGGCAGACGCACAGATCGGAGATGGAGACCCCTGCGCAGGGCCTGAGCGTTATCAACAAGAGCAGGGCCCCCAGGCAGCTCTCCAGGGGCAGCTCCAAGCAGTTGTCCTGCTTCAGCGGGAGAGCCGAGATATCCACTTTACACCTAGACGAGTTCCAAAAGCAGAGAAAGAAAAAAAAAAGAATTAATTCAAGGCCTCCACGGAATCTCCAGAGCACCTGGATTTTATTCCGGCATCCCCCTCAACCTCCCTCTGGCTGGCCTCCAGTTTATGGAGCAGTGAACGTTGCAGAGGCTTCCCTGGCTCTTAAGACTCCCTCTCTCAGCCTAACACACTTGGAAATTCAACAGAGGGAGAGGTAACGAAAATTGAAGAGAAGTGAAGAAAGTCAAGACTCTGGCAGAGTCCGCGGAAAGACCATGAGAGGGAGACTTAGGGAGGAAAAGAGTTTTAAAGTGTACGTTACAGACGACTGCTCTATAGGGTTTTGTGAAGCTTTTCTGAGCTGTGTCTTTTACGAGTAAAGAAAACCGGGATACGGTTTGACGAAGAAGGGCCACAAGGCAAGGGAAATCCAAGCGGGAGGCATCCGGGAGAAGCCTTTTTCTTTCCCATAATGCCAACTGGCAAGTTTTTATTTAAAGAAGCATATTAAGGTGTTTTCCTAATGGGCACGGGTCCCCAGGGGGCCCCAGGTGGGTTTGTTCTGCACAAACGGAGCATGAAGCGCTGTGGATTGATCCCATTTCGGCAGCCCAGGCAGGAAAGGCTGGACCCATCTGTTGTAAATTGCATGTTTTCTGCCTCTTTGCAGCCCATGTTCTGGGAGTGTTGAAAACTTCAAACACATTTAAATACAGAAGCAAACACCCTGAAAGGGGCTGAGGTGCTAAGCCATTTATTTGCTTTAATATTGAAAACTAGGTTTGCCTGGCCCACACCTGCTATGTTTATGTATGCAGGTGGGTGAACCTGGCAGGGCCTGGTGGAGGAGGGATGACTTCAAAGGCCTTCGTAATTCCAAGATGCAGTTTCGTTTTTGTTTTTTAAATTCACTTGCCCTCTGTCATCATATAATGAAATGAGTATTTGTGACTTTAGGGAAGGATTAAAGCTGGTGCCAACAGGTGGCATGGTGATGAAGATGCTGGACTCCCACTTAGCCAACAGTGGTTCAAACTCCAGATCTGGCAGCTGGCTTTTTCAGTTTCTCTGTCTGTCTCTCTGTCTGGTGAGTGCACATGCCCGATAACAAATTTTTAAAATAAATAAATAAAGCTTTAAAAAAAGGAGGGGGGATGAAAGCACTGCCTCTCACAATGAATAGATTCTTACTCTAAATCCTTGGTGGACTTTGTAAATTTGCAGGTAACTCAAAATAAGTTTACATAATACATAAAGTGATGACACTTTTGAGCCATGTGGATATGCAGACAAAAACTTCCCGTTTAAAAAACTTGTTACCCCCTCCAGATGAAAAGGGGAAAGACAGCATTCAAGTTCATACCGGTTTTTATTACACGATTACAGGATCAAAAAATTTTTTACATACTGATCTGTGTCTACTGAATATATATGGTCATGGGTTGGTTTCCTGTTTACCAAAAGCAGCCCCAGTTTGGAGAGAGTGGCAAGCAGAGGTTTTACATATAATAGAGATCCATCGAATCTTTCTGCTGGAGAGAGCTTACAAATAACATATTTTTAAATCACTTTCTTATTTGAAACTATTTTTTTCTTCAGCAACCAGGAACCTCTTCAAGTTGAAGTTTACTACTACCTGTGAAAGCACTGAGTGACTGGGGAAGTCATGATGCATTTTTTGCATAGAAAAACATGACATGATTTTCCTGACAACCTAATAGAAGTTACTAAATATTCTTATTTCACAAGCAACTTTGTAAGGAGGAAATTAAATTTCCTGGGAAGAAACAGTAAGTGGTTTAACTATTGCCATTTCTTTCTCCTTCCCCCCCCCTTTTTTTTTTTTTTTTTTGAGAAATTTTTGCTAGAGTGTATGTGAGCTCGGCAGAGACAGAGAGAGAGCAGAAAGCAAGAGCTCACCCCCCACTCCTGGGGTGGGCATGCCACTCTCTCTCCTACAATCTCAAGATTTTGGGTACACACGCACATGTGCCTGGCATGAGTTTCAAGCTGCCAGGTCTGGGACTCAAACCACAGTCGACTACGTGGGAGTCCAGCAACATAACCGTTACGCTATCTGCTGGTCCCAATTATTGCATTTCTAGAAAACGAAGTACCCACATCTTACAGCAGTTTAGGAATACTTTGCTAAGCATTATTTAATCTTGTTATATACTTTCTCATTAATAAAGTTCTTTGTGGAAAGAACAATGGTTCAAATTTGTAAAAAAATTTCCTCTGGTGGTCACTTGACTTATTCCAAATGAGCCAAAGTCTATTTATGGCATATTCTATTAAATACCATTGATAACTGCAATTTTTCTTTTGTCTTTTGAATGTTTAGCACCTTTGTTAAGGTGGTGATTTTGTTCGTTGAACAGCCAATAGTTAGAGACAATTCCTCTGAGAGCTGGTAGTGCTGGAGGGACAAAAGTAATTAAGAATGGGGGCCAGCAGATGACAGAGCAGTTACATTACTGGACTCCCACATGGTCGACCACGGTTCAAGTCCCAGCTCCAGTGGCTTGAAAACTCATGCAGGACATATATGCATGCATGTGTGCCCAAGATCCTGGAAGGAGAATGGAGGAGAAGGGATTGCAGCATGGCCATCCCCAGTGGGAGGTTATTTCTCACTTTCTCTGTCTCTCTCTCTCTCTCTTGCAAGCCCACACACCCAAAGGCAAAACCTCTACCAAAAAAAAAAAAAAAGGTAACAAGCCAAAAAGTGGTGTAGTGTGGGGACATGTTTAAGAGAGAGAACCTGAGGTGTGGGGACATGCTCTGAGCAAACACCACCTGCTCTTTTGGGGTTTGGCAGAACCTGGTAACTTGTCTTTCCCTGACCTTGGCTGCAGACAGAGCAAGGGTGGAAATTACTAGGGGCGTTCCAACTGACATATCTGATGGACTTCAAGAAACATCTTGACCCCAATTAGTAAAATCCAATCCCTGCTCTGCATACGAAAGGTTCTTTAAGCCTTCTCTGGGTGTGGTAGTGCACTCCTTATAGAGAAGTTCTTTAGCTCCTTCCCCACACCTAACAGCTAGTTCTCTGCATTAGAAAAGAAGATGACATTTTCTCTTGATGGGATTATCCCCAAGGGATACACCTGGCCTGGTATGACTAGGCCCTCATAGATTTGTTAATTACTTCTTATTGTCTGTAACCTGGCAACCAATCTATGAAGTGTCATGAAACACATGTGTAATGTCTCCTTGTACTATAAATAAAGACGTCCAGTTCATCTGGGCAGCACAAGTTGCTTGGGCTACCTAGGCTCAGGCTGCCTGTGTCCATTTCTACTCTATCCCTTTGTCTCATTCTTCCCAGTTCCCCAGTCCTGGCAAGGTGGAGGGCTTTCTCTTTCTCATCCTCTTTCTCTTCCTCACCAGCAGCCTCCTGATCATGTTTCAGCCAGACCCAAGCCCTGGGGCGGACGCCGACAGTGTAGTGCTTACGGAGGTAGATCCCACATGGCCAACTCTACTGTTTGAGTCCTGAGCCCTGCAGCCTGAAAATCACTCCAGGCGCATGTGCATTTGTGCCCAAAATCCCAGGAGGAGAGTGGAGGAGAAGGGACTGTAGCATAGCATTCCCCCTGGGAGTTATCTCACTTTCCCTCTATCTCTATTTCTGATAAGAGCACTTAAACCATGGTCAGTCCTGTGGGAATCCAGTGCCCTTAAACCCCACACCACCTGCCAGCCCTACCTATCTCATTTTTAAAGAAAATTTAGTTAATTAGGAAAAAAAACTACATGCGAAATGGCCAGGCCTCGTTTAGAAGTCAGGGCCTCCAAAAGACAGTTAGGGATTCCACCACCACCTTAATGAATTGTCTCTTTACTCATAAGTCAAATATTCATTCACTTTTTCTATCTTACTGACTTGAAAGAACAGACTAATGTATTATATCAGCATTACATCAATCAAAATTAAAACTTGGTCCTTCTGATGCAGCCAGAGGTTAGCATAGTGGTTAAGGTGCTGGGCTCCCACGTGGCCAACCATAGCTTGAGTCCCAGACTCGGCAGCTTGAAACTCATGCCAGGCATGTGTGCATGCATGCCCCAAATCCCAGGAGGGGAGGGGATTGCGGGGACTGATTTCTTTCTCTATTTCTTTTGCTCTCTCTTTCTCTTTCTCTTTCTCTCCCTCTCTCCCCAGTGAGCACACATTCCCTGTGACAAAAGCTTTAGAAAAAAATTTTAAGATGTAAACATTCTGGAACCAGCAGATGGAGTAATGGTTATATCACTGAAGTCCCACGTAGTCAACTACAGTTCGAGTCCCAGACCTGGGGGCCTAAACTTTACACCTGGTGCATGAGCACGGGTGCCTAAAATCCCGAGAAGAGGAGGAGGGGAAGCAATTTCTCACGTTCTGTCTCTCCAGCGAGCGCACTCACCCTATAGCAAAAATCTCTCTGGGGGGGGAAAAAAGGACAAGATTGGTCCCAGATAACAAAAACACATGGATAAATGTGTCAGCTATCTTAATGTAAGAAGAATCTTTTCTTTTTTTTTTTCCTTTTTGCTAGAGGGTGTGTGCGCTCACCAGAAAGAGACACAGAAAGACAGAGATGGAATGTTAGAAAGCAACCCCTAGGGTGAATGACCATGCTGCAATCCTTTCTCTTCCATTTTCCTCTAAGGATTATGGGCACACATACACACGTGCCTGGTGTGTTGTTCAAGCCTCCAGGTCTGGGACTCAAACCATGCATGGGGGATCCAGCTGCCTTAACTTCCATACCACCTGCTGGCCCCATTCTTTGGGAAATAATTTTTAACTCACCATAATTTAAGAAAAACTGGCCAAAATATCGAATTATCTGTTAATTAAAAATGGTACCAGCAATGACACTTTTTCTGCCTGATAGAAACATGGGGCACACGTGCTCAGAAAGTCTATCCAGGAACTGGGATCCATGAGCATTAAGCAACGAGGTCTGTCTCAGTAGCATTTATGTGACTTCGCATGCAAGGGAAGTCT